AGGCCCCAAGTTCAAGCCCTAGGATAGGCCAAAAAAAAAAGAAAGAAAAAAAAAAAAAGAAAAGAGTAACTACTGTTATTTGTAAACTATTTCCTATAGAAGCAGCATATTATTATATTATTTCATATAAAACATCACTGACATATGAACACATGGAAGGTAAAGAAGATTGTACTTAAAGTTTAGGGGAACAATATTAAAGATTTCATGAGTAAGTTAAATTTTTAAATTTTCTTTCAAATATGCTGTAGGGAAGTTACACACATATTATTTAAACAGAAGATTTAAGCACCATCAAGTGTAAAGCAATTTGATGAATTTTTAGCGTAATTATTATTATTTGCCAGTCCCAGTGATTCAACTCAGGGCCTGGGAGCTGTCCCTGAGCTTTTTTTTTTTTCCCTGAGCTTCTTGTTCAAGGCTAGCACTCTGCCACTTGAGCCACAGCACCACATCTGGCTTTTTCTGTGTATGTGGTACTGAGGAATTGAACCCAGGGTTTCATGCATGCTAGGCACTCTACCACTGAGCCACCTTCCCAGCCCCTAAAGTCTTCCAATTTTAAGGTCATTATTGTGTCTTTTCTCCATCCGTCCCTATATTAGAAGGAAATCAGAAGGTCTGGCCTGGTTTCAAATTCTACCGATAAAGTATTTAAAAGCTCATTTCCAGTTTTTACTCCTACCAAATATGGAAAATGTGGCAAGCAGCGTAGTTTCTGTAAACAGTTATCAGAAAATATTTAAAGTCAGTGTGGTGGAATTGATCGTGAAGGAAGTGGGTTGAAGGAAGTTAACGTAGCAGTACTTTTTTGCTCCTGTCCCAAATACACATGGTTGACTTTTTGTTTCGTGACCAGTCAGTGCAGACACACCCACTGGTAACGCTAAAGGAGAGCAGGAGAAGTCTCCGTTTGTGTGATGCATAGTTGCAGCTGCCAAGCATTGCCTACCTTGTCTTAGAGGTGATCATGGGATGGACGGGCCACAGTCCGGCCGGTGACACAATCCCTGGAAGGTCACTCACTTCCAGACCACGGATCGTATAATTTCACAAAGTCCATAATCTGACGGGTGGCTCACCCCGTAATCCTAGCAGCTCAGGAGACTGAGGTTTGAAGCCAGCTCCAGCAGAACATTGTGAAACATTATGTTGCATTGGTCTAGCGTTTTGAGCTCAGGGCCCTGGCCACTGTCCCTGAGCTTTCTTATGCTACTTCTGGCTTTTTTTCTTTTTCTTGGTAGCTCATTCTTGCCTGGGCTGGCTTCCAACCATGATCTTCAGATCTCAGCATCCTGAGCTGGATTACAGGCATGAGCCACTTGGCATGTCTTTGAAACTCTTATCTCCAATTAACCACCAAGAAGGTGGAAGTGGACCTGTGGCTCAAGTAGTAGAGCACGATCCTTCAGCAAAAAATGTAAGGGTCAGTGCTCAGACCCCAAGTTCTCTCTCACTCCTATCCAGATGTGACACGGGCAAGCGCTAGGCCACCCCTGAGGTTAACCAAGAAGGACTCCTCTTTATTTTAATGGGAACACCCCACACCTGCCATGCTGGACTCCAGAACTTACCATGGCCTCTAAATGGGCTAAAACCGGTTTTACTTTTCATTTATAATTGATACGGGGAGGGGGGGGTGGATGCAATCACAGAGGAGTCAATATCATACATATTTAAAACCAAACTCCAACAGCAAAATGTATTATCTAAAATTTTTTTTAATATTTCAAAGAAAAAGATCTCTGTAAAAGCAAATTTTCAGTAACACGCATGTCTGTTTACACAAGCTCTCTCCCATAAGTCTCCTGAAGGTATAACAATGAGACTGAGAGCCATGATACATGCCAAAAACTTGTTCATTAGGTTCCAGCATGAAAATGTGTGTTTGGGCCAGGGGCTGATGCCTGTAATCCTAGCAGCTCCTGGGCCTGAGATCTGAGGATGGCAGGAAAGTCCCTGTGACCCTTAACTTCAATGAACCACCAAAAGAGCAGGAAACACGCTATGGCTTGAGTGGCTCACATTCTAGCCTTGGGTGGGAGTGGGGGGACAGGGCCCAGGCCCTGAGTTCAAGTCCCGGTAAACACACACACACACACACACACACACGTTAGGTGTGCCTTTTGAACAGTCATCACCATCTGTGTTAAAACAGTATGGTTCACCCACACGCCTGGGAGACAAAAACCAGGAATTCCTTCTGGAAGCCTGTCTCAAGTCCTATCAAACAAGGATCTTGGTCTTGTGGCCAGCCCTTTCCCAGGATTCACCCCACCCTGCCACCCCTCACTCACCCAGCGTGCCCCCAGAGCGGGGACAGGCTTGTTGAGTCCCATGGTTTGTGCCCTTGTCGCAATGAGTCTCTTTGTTCTTAGGCTTGAGGCAGGGACGGAGGGGGGGCTGGTCTTCTGTGGATGGAGGGGGGGTCTGGTCTTCTGTGGATGGAGGGGGGGGCCTGGTCTTCTATGGATGGAGGGGGGGGTCTGGTCTTCTATGGACGGAGGGGGGGTCTGGTCTTCTATGGATGGAGGGGGGGTCTGGTCTTCTATGGACGGAGGGGGGGTCTGGTCTTCTGTGGATGGAGGGGGGGCCTGGTCTTCTATGGATGGAGGGGGGGTCTGGTCTTCTATGGACGGAGGGGGGGGTCTGGTCTTCTGTGGACGGAGGGGGGGCCTGGTCTTCTGTGGATGGAGGGGGGGGCCTGGTCTTCTGTGGACGGAGGGGGGGCCTGGTCTTCTATGGACGGAGGGGGGGGTCTGGTCTTCTGTGGACGGAGGGGGGGGTCTGGTCTTCTATGGATGGAGGGGGGGTCTGGTCTTCTATGGATGGAGGGGGGGGGCCTGGTCTTCTATGGATGGAGGGGGGGCCTGGTCTTCTATGGATGGAGGGGGGGCCTGGTCTTCTATGGACGGAGGGGGGGCCTGGTCTTCTATGGACGGAGGGGGGGGTCTGGTCTTCTGTGGACGGAGGGGGTGGCCTGGTCTTCTGTGGATGGAGGGGGGCCTGGTCTTCTATGGATGGAGGGGGGGCCTGGTCTTCTGTGGACGGAGGGGGGGTCTGGTCTTCTATGGACGGAGGGGGGGGCCTGGTCTTCTATGGACGGAGGGGGGGGTCTGGTCTTCTGTGGATGGAGGGGGGGTCTGGTCTTCTATGGACGGAGGGGGGGGGGTCTGGTCTTCTGTGGACGGAGGGGGGGCCTGGTCTTCTATGGACGGAGGGGGGGGCTGGTCTTCTGTGGACGGAGGGGGGGGGCTGGTCTTCTATGGACGGAGGGGGGGGCCTGGTCTTCTATGGACGGAGGGGGGGGGGGCTGGTCTTCTGTGGACGGAGCGGGGCCTGATCTTCTGTGGATGGAGGGGGGCCAGATCTTCTGCAGGCTAAGGCCCCTGAAGTCCTCCTGCTCTCTCCCCTGCCTGGGACCTAGGCCCCGGGGCGCTGCCCAGCCAAGGGTGGGGAGTCGGGGTTTCCTGGGTCTGGGGAGCCTTTCCCATCTGCTGCTTGGGTTCCTTGAGACCGCAGGTCAGGGCAAATGGGGAGACAGGAAGACCCTGACTGACTTAGGTATACAGCCTGCCTTTCTGAGGAGCAGCCCCAGCAGGTCCCCCAGACCGTGGGACCCCCCAGACCATGGGCCCCCCCTGACCATGGGCCCCCCCTGAGACCACGGCCCCCACCTCCAGACCATGGCCCCCCAGACCATGGCCCCCGCCCCGCCGCGCAGCCGGAGCCGGCCCGAGCCGGAGGACTCCTCGGTGGAAGGGAAACGCGCGGAGCGGCGGGACCCGCGCCAGCCCAGCCCGAGCCCGCGGCCCCGCCCGCCCGCCCGCGCACGCGCGCTCCCCGCCGCCCCACGTTACTTTGATTGACGGCGCGGCCCCGCCGCTCTCCGTCCCGCCGACCTTCCCCTCCCCCGCCCCGCCCCCGCCCGCCCGTCCCGCGCCCCGCCGCTTCCCATTGGCCGGCTCCGCCGTCCTCCGCGCTCCTCGGGAGGCCGGTGTTGGCCCGGCCCGGGAGGACGCGGCTGGGGGGGCGGGGCGGGGGCGGCGGCGGAGAGGGGCGCGAGCGGGTGGGCGGGGCGCGAGGGGGCGGGCGCCGAGGGGGCGGGCCCTCCGGCGGCACGCCGCGATAGGCTCCGGGCGGGTACACGTCAGCGCCCCACGTTGGGCCGGGCGCACGCGGTTGGTCGAGGGCGCCGCCTCCGCCCGCCCCCTCCGCCCGCCCCCGCCCGCGGGCCCGCGGCCCCCGCCCGCGCGGGGCTGGGCGGGGCCGGCGCGGGGAGCTCGGGAGTGTGAAACCGCGTGTTAATGTAACCGGCGCGAGAGGCGCGGGCGGCGGCGGCGGCGGCGGGAGCGGCGGCGGCGGAGCGCGGCGGCGGGCACCCCGCACCCCGATTGCGCCTCCTCCTCCGTCGCGCGGGCGCGGGACCTCGGACGCCTCGCCGCCGCGACCGCGCGGGACTCGTCCGCCGACTTCGCGGACCGCGGACGCAGGCCGAGCGGCGGGCGCGCCCGGGGCCCCCGCGCGGACCGCGGCGCCCGGGCCGCGGGAGAACTTGGCGGCGGGGCCGGCGCTCCCGGGCCGCGAGGCCGCGCCGGCGGCGTGCGGGGCGCCGCGCGGGGCCAGGGCCCGATGCGCCCCGGGGCCGAGCGCCGGCGGCCGGCTCCCGCGGGGCCGCGCGGCGGGGAGTAGCCCGCGGCGTCCCGGAGGCGGCGCCCCCCGCGCGGCGCCCGCCCCGCTCTCCGCGCCGGGCCGGGCTCGGCTGCGCCGGGCGCGGGGCTTCCGATCCCGACTCGGGCCCGGCGCCCCCGCGGCCCCGACGCCGCCGTCGCGGGGCGGAAGCGGGGAGCCCCGGGCGCCCGGCCGGCCCCGCACACGTAGGCTGAGGCGGCGGGGCCCCGCGCGCCCCACGATGCGGGCCTGAGGGCGGGAGCCGGAGCGCGCGCCCCCGGCCGCCCCGCGCCGCCACCGCCGCCGCCGCCCCCTCGGCGGGGGCGAAGTTGGAGATTGAGCGCAGCGTGGAGTGGGGCGGGGGCCGGGCCGCGGCGGCCGCCGGAGCGATGTTCCCGCAGAGCCGGCACCCGGTAAGCGGCGGCGGGCGGGGGGGTCACCGGGCGGGGTCACCGGGCCGGCCCTTCCTGCGGGGCGGCCGGACGGGGCGGCCGCGGCCCGCAGCCCCCGCCGAGCGGCCCCGCTTTGTCCCCGCCGCCCCGGTCCCCCCGTGACGTCGCGCCCCGCGTGTCCCCCGCCCGCAGACGCCGCACCAGGCCGCGGGGCAGCCGTTCAAGTTCACCATCCCGGAGTCGCTGGACCGCATCAAGGAGGAGTTCCAGTTCCTGCAGGCGCAGTACCACAGGTGCGTGCGCCGGGCCCGGCACCCCGACACCCGCATCCCGACACCCCCACACCGGCACCCCGACACCCGCACCCCGGCACCTCGATACCCCGACACCCCCACACCGGCACCTCGATACCCCGACACCCCCACACCGGCACCTCGATACCCCGACACCCCCGCACCGGCACTCCGACACCCCGACACCCCCGCACCGGCACTCCGACACCCGCACCCCGGCACCCGCACCCCGGCACCTCGACACCCGCACCCCGGCACCCGCACCCCGGCATCCCGCACCCCGAGCCCGGCACCCCGACACCCGCACCCCGGCACCCCCGACACCCCGATACCCCCGCACCGGCACTCCGACACCCGCACCCCGGCACCCGCACCCCGGCACCTCGACACCCGCACCCCGGCACCCGCACCCCGGCATCCCGCACCCCGAGCCCGGCACCCCGACACCCGCACCCCGGCACCCCGACACCCCGATACCCCGACACTCCGAGTCTGGCACTCCGACACCCCGAGCCCTGTACCCACACCCCGAGCCCGACACCCTGACACCCCGAGAACCACACCCGACAACCTGCACCCCCAGCCCGGCACCCCAACACCCCGAGCCCGACACCCTGACACCCACACCCCGACACCAGCACCCCGAGCCGGGCACCCAACACCCACCCCCGACACCCACACCCCGACACCCCGAGCCCGGCACCCCAATACCCAGACCCCGACACCCCGAACCCCGGACGCCCCGGCCTCTCACCGCGGCCTCGGACACCCCAACCCCGGCCCCTCACCCCGGCCTCGGACACCCCAACCCCGGCCCCTCACCCCGGCCGGGGGAAGCCCCGGCCCCATGTCCCAGCCCCGGACACCCCGGCCCGGACATCCTGGCCCCTCACCCCGGCCCGGCCCCGGCCCGCGGCGCTGCACTTGGCCCGGGCGTCCAGGCGGTGGCGTGCGGAGCCGCGGCCGGCGCTCCCGGAGCCCCTGGGCGCCTCCATTGTCTCCCCTCCGGCCGCCCAGCCCCGCGCGGAGCGGCGTCTCTGCGGGCCCGGAAGCAGGCCGAGCCCGGTCGATGCCCGGCACCGAGCAGGGGTTCGGGAACCAAAGCCGTGTTGAAACCCGCTGTTTGCCGTGGGAGAAGCCGGGGTTGTCGGAGACAAAGTCCATCCCAGCCGCCGGCCCGGCGGGGATGGTCGGGGGGATGGACTGGGGGATTGTCCGGGGCGATGGACGGGGCGGGGTGCTGCGCAGGGCCCAGCGGGGATGGACGGGGCGGGGCGCTCTGCAGGGCCCGCGCGGGGACCCAGCCACGCGCGCGCGCGCGCGCGCGCGTGTGTGTGTGTGTGTGTGTGTGTGTGAGTGTGTGTGTGTGTGGGGGGTCTCAGCTGTGAGCACACTACCTCGGAAGGCCCTCAAGTGGGAGCTGCCCCGGTGCCCCAGTCAGGGTTAGCCCGGGCCCTCTGCCAGCCGGCTCCCGGCCCAGTCCTCACCTCCTGACGAGTCTCCCCGTCCTGGCCTGGGTGTGTGTCTCCCTACTTCGTTGGGAGCTTTCTGAGTATTGACCCTTTGTCTGCTTGTAGCTCTAGGCACACGCCATGTTCACCAAGCCAGAGAACTTCAGCCCACTTCATCCCAGTAGCTCCTTGACATATTTTGGCAGGGATTTAGAAACCAAAGGCCTTTGAAAGGGACCAGCCAGCGCTGAAGTCACTTTACGGGTCACATTTTCAAACCCAGACAGCTAAAGTTGGCATATACGGTCCAACCTATCCTGGAAATGAAAGACCATGGAAAGACCAGATTCTGGTGCAGCCCAGAGAAGCTGATGCTGATGCCAGGAAATAGGGGGCAGACAAACATGAGGAGCAGCCTGTCTTGAAGGATGGTTTTGTTTTTGTTTTTTAATTCTTCCAGTCTTACCAGGTGTGCACCACGATGGACAGGAGCTGTCGCTGAGGGGAGGAGAAACTGCACTGTGTGCTTTATTTTTATTTTTACTTTTTCCTCCTCTATTACACCAGAACAAAGCTTTGGGGTGTTTACCTAGGTAGTTCATGGCTTTTCCAAATTGGTCTTTGTTTTTACTTGAAGTGCAAATATGTGAGGCAGATGTTAAAACAAGTGGCCACAAATGTGTACGCTAAGTTGCCTGCTTTGTTTCTTTTTTAGCCTTAAATTGGAATGTGAGAAACTGGCCAGTGAAAAGACGGAAATGCAGAGGCACTACGTGATGGTGAGTATCCCAGATCGAACTTTGTTTCCTTTCCATAAGATGTTAGCAAATATGTGCTCTGAGCAGAGACATGAGAGTTGGTGAAATGCTTAGTTCTTTTTTTCTCTTTGCAGTATTATGAAATGTCATACGGATTAAACATTGAAATGCACAAACAGGTAAGCTTTAGTTAAATCTCAAGCTGCAGTGAGAAGCTAGTTCATATAATGCTACAGTTCTGACTTTGTCCTCAGTAGTCATGGGCTTGTCTGCTATTTTCCTGCCTCCCTGAGAGTTGGTGGTAGGTTATTCTGTAGTAAAGATTGCTTCTTGACAGTTAACGTGGCACTTAAGTGACTAGGTAAGAGGTGCTTTGAAAATGCAAACCTGCCTGTTCATAGGCAGATAATTATCAGAGCCTCAGAGGTTTACTTTCCCACCTGGATAGATTTATTTACCTTGTAGAGTTAAGTGATATTTTTGTGCAGTTTGTGGAAGGAAGTGTGGTGGGGGGGGGGGAAGAACAGCAGTTAGGAGTTTCTTTAATCACGTTAAACAAGGCATGTGACTAAGTGTGGAATATTCTTTGTAGACTGTGCTTTGGGGCTGCGTGAAGAGACACTCAGGATTACTGGCTTATTAGCACACATCCTTTGGAAAAAATGCTTGTTTGATGCGGGTTTGGAGGTGCAGGGAAAAAGCCTTCTTTCCAGCCTCAGCATATGTCGGGAGTTGCTTCAGTCCTAGTGGTTTTAAAAGCACGCGAAGATTAGTGGCTGGAAAGCTGGAGCTATGAGTTTGCAAGTTCCCATAAAATTCACACTTATGGCCACTATAATGGTGTATAAAAAGAGTATTGAGCTGGAACAAGGCACTGAGGACCTCATAAGAGAAGAAAAGCTAAATGATTGCTCAGCCCAGAGGACCCTCGATTGAGTAGTCATTGTCTGCCAAAGAAAGCATTAATGGCAGGGTGTGAGTATTCTGGAGATATGCTGACATTCACTTTTTCATCAAGACGCTGGTACAATAAGTCTTTTAGAAATCGATTGCCTCTTAAAAAATTATCATCAGATGAAGTTGCACAGTTGGACACATTTCAAAGTGCAACAATACAATTCTTACTTGATGTATATGTGCTATTTCATCTCAAACCCTTGTTTCATTAAATTAAAGAGCATCGCTGACGGCCGGGGCACGGTGGAGAAATTGATTAGTTCAGCCTTCAGATCTTCCTTATATTCAAAGACTTTCATTAAGCAAGTGTGTTTCAGAGTTGAATTCTGCTTTTGTAACTCTGCACTCTTTGATTTTTAATTCATCATAGGTTTCATAATGTTATCGTGTACATGAGATCAGTTTTCAGATAGGTGTTTGGAGAGAGAGCTAAGATCAGGGCCTTTCACTGGTAATGTAATTAGGCCTTTTAAAAAAGTGCTGATTTTACTCTGATTTGCTGTTAGTAGCATCTTTACATTGAGGTTGTTTTGTTTCAGTGGTTTCTACCTTACTGTGTGTGTGTGGGGGGGGCGAGCAGTTATAATTTGTTGAGTAAATGGGTCAGCAGATCTATGGCTAACTGTGGTCATTTAAATTAATTATGCAAGTAGGTTTGGCTGAGAAGATTGATCCCCTCCCCCACCCCATGAGGCAGTGGTGGTGCTGGTGGTGGCGGTGGTGGTGGTGGTGATGGTGATGGTGGTGGTGATGTTGATGGTGGTGGTGGTGGTGATGGTGGCGGTGGTGTGGGATGGTGATGGTGGTGGTGGTGGTGATGGTGGCGGTGGTGTGGGATGGTGGTGGTGATGGTGGTGGTGGTGATGGTGATGACAGTGGTGTGGTGATGGTGGTGGTGATGGTGACTGGTGTGGTGATGATGGTGATGGTGGTGGTGATGGTGGTGGTGATGGTGACTGGTGTGGTGATGATGGTGATGGTGGTGGTGATGGTGGTGGTGATGGTGACAGTGGTGTGGTGTGATGATGATGGTGATGGTGGTGGTGATGGTGATGGTGGTGGTGATGGTGGTGATGGTGATGATGGTGGTGCTGGTGATGGTGGTGGTGGTGATGATGGTGATGGTGGTGGTGGGGATGGCGGTGGTGATGGCGGTGGTGATGGTGATGATGGTGGTGGTGATGGTGGTGGTGGTGATGGTGGTGGTGATGGTGGTGGTGGTGGTGGTGATGATGATGGTGGTGATGGTGGTGGTGGTGGTGGTGGTGATGGTGGTGGTGGTGATGGTGGTGGTGGTGATGGTGATGGTGGTTGTCATGGTGGTGATGGTTGTGATGGTGGTGGTGGTGATGGTGGTGGTGGTGATGGTGGTGATGGTGGTGGTGGTAGTGATGGTGATGGTGGTGGTGGTGGTGGTGGTGATGGTGGTGGTGGTGATGGTGGTGATGGTGGTGGTGGTGGTGCTGGTGGGTTTTTCTTTTTTAATCTTACCTTGAAGGGCCTTTTTTTCTCTTAAATAATAAGTATTCAGAAAGAGTAAAAGGAGACTGAGTTTTTTCGTAAGCCCATAAACTCCAAGGATTTAATAACCTCATTGAGTCTTTTACAGGGAACACCCCTTTATGATGTTGTGTACTGGTGCTGGCTTTATTGGGGAGGGGGCAAGATAAAAGAGGTGTGTAATTCTTCTGGGTTCCTGCAGGGCACATGGTGGGCTGACCTTTTCTTTATCATGTAGGAAGAAGGAAGAAGGGGCAGGGAGGGTCAGAAGCCCCGTGGAGTGAAAATAGTTTCCTAATGAGTTCCTGTACTGTGTTGGGCATTTGTTGGTTATATACTGTCTGTCTGTGAGCCTCTGTGCTAATAATATGCTGTGTATAATTGGCCCAGTAATTTGAAAAACGTGAAAAGCTGAGAGACCCCATGTTCATGGGAGGGTATGAAGCCCCTGGAATTCAGTTTATACTGTCAGTGCTGACAGACCCTTCAGTGGAGTGGTGTGCAAAGATGTGCTGTAATTCAGTTTAAAGTGGTCTTCCATTTGAAAAACATCCTTCTGAATGTCACCCATTAATAATAAGTTCTGAGGAGGCATTTGGTGCTGCTGGTAATCATAATTCTTATTAAAACTGGTGACGTCTGGCCCCCAGGGGGTAGCCAGGCTCAAATGGATGCTTTTTGCTGCCTGATCACCAGCATGGCCTAAGTGCTCATTATATTGTAGAGAGGGCCTTTGGAGCTCTTATTAGACCTGACAGGAATGTTCTCTAGGGGGAAACTGGGCATTAGTGAGACTCCTGACAGGCTGAAATTATTCCTGCTTTACGGCTCATAACCAAATGCTAGCCAGCCATCATCAGGGGACACAAAAAATTGTCATTTCTGACAACATCTTTGTTACTGAAAAAAAAATTGCAGCGATGGGGAGGCGATCCGCTGAGAGCTCTTTCATGCTCTTAAGATTTGTCTCTCCCTTCCCACCTTCAGTGGGCTTGTCAGAAGGAGAGAATGTGAAGAGTCCAGTGTCAGATCTCACCACCGGCTTTTCCGTCTGGAAGTTTTAAAGTGGAAGTGCGTCCGAATGAAGGATGGCTTGGCTGTGGTTTCCCAAGCTAGAGTTAGCATGGGGCCTGTGGTCCCAGTTCTGTTGTGTCAGCACCTGATAAGACCTTCCCCTGTGCTTCCTCTGCTGGGCTGGGGCTAGTTACTGAAAAGGCAGCTGCATGCAGCATTGCCACAGTAGTGCCTCCCCCCCCACCCCTGCCCGGGGTTTAAGGTAGATCCTTCCTCTCCATCTCTGTCTGAGTAGCTGGTAAACCCCGCTACTCTAAGCCAGGGAGATGTGGAAATGCCTCAGGCCCCTGGAGCCCGGGCCCATGGAGAGCTAACTATCTGCTTCTTCCAGGGTCCAGCCTCCGTTGGAGGGCAGTTGCTTTTCTGTGGCTTTTGTATTTCCTTTACGATTCCTGCGAACAGCATGTACTGCAAGCATGCATACCCAGGTCGCATGTATCCCCCTTGTGTGTATTTTCTGTATATAGAGCAGACCAGGCTATCAGCTGGGGGGGTGGCGCATGCCTCTAATCCCAACCACACAGGAGGTTGGCAGATAATGAAATCAACCTGGACAATAGAACCACCTCTCAAAAAGCCAAACCTCAATCTGACCTGGGTACTGATGGCTGCTGCCTGTAACCCAGCTGCTCAGGAGTCGGAGGATTGCTGGTAAAGCCAGCCCTAGCAGCACAGTTTCCAGCTTAGTCACCGATGCAGGAGTACTTGCCCGGTGTCTCGGCTGTGGGAGAAGGCTGAGACATGAGATGTGGTTCTAGAAAAGCCTGGATAAACGTTCAAAGGTGCCACCGCACATGGAGCACGCTGCTCTTCCCTTTGAGCTATTTCAGCTATGTTGGGAAACATAAGATCTCAGTCCAGGCCTGCCCTAGCCAAAATGAGACTCTTATCTCAAAGATAGCCAGGGCAGAAAGGACTGGAGGTGTGTGCAAACCCTGAGTTTAAAATTAGTACCACCAGAAAAAAAATTGAAAAATGGGCTGGGAATGTGACTTAGTGGTAGAGTATTTACCTACCATGCATGAAGCCCTGGGTTCGGTTCCTCAGTACCACATAAACAAAAAATACTGGAAATAGGGCTATGGCTCAAGTGGTAGAGTGCTAACCTTGAGCAGAAGAAGCTCAGGGATGGGCTGGGAAGCTGGCTCAGTGGTAGAGCGCTTGCCTTGCATGCATGAGGCCCTGGGTTCGATTCCTCAGCACCACATAAGCAGAAAAAGCTGGAAGTGGCACTTGTGGCTCAAGTGATAGAGCACTAGTCTTGAGCCGAAGAGCTGAGGGATGGCACCCAGGCCCAGAGTTTAGGCCTCAGGACTGGAAAAAAAAAATACAAAGCCAATTTTCAGTGATCCTCATCTGTGGCACCTGTTTTTTTCAGTAGTGCTGTCTCTTCCAAGATTTCCATCGGCAACCTGCCACGTCCCTTGACGGGAGTCTTAGTCTGCCCTGGCTGTGGGCAGCGTCTGAGGCCTGGTCCATAATTTTGATCTGTGTTTAAAGTTTTCTCTTTGGAAAATAAGTTATTCTGTAGTGTGTAGAGTTGGTGTGTTTGTGAAGTATTTAAGTAGAACGGTGTTAGGGATTACAATGAGAGTTAATTCCTAAGATGTGACATTACTTCTTATCTGTGTGTTTAACTTTGCCTTTT